CCTCCAACCCAATAGCGATGGCCTCCACCTAGTAGCTTCTTGCTACTGGTCATATCTTGTCCTTGGTACTAGTACCTTATGGTTCCTAGTAGCGATGGCCTCCAACCCAATAGCGATGGCCTCCACCTAGTAGCTTCTTGCTACTAGTCATATCTTGTCATTTTACTAGTAGCTTCTTGTTCCTAGTAGCGATGGCCTCCAACCCAATAGCGATGGCCTCCACCTAGTAGCTTCTTGCTACTAGTCATATCTTGTCATTTTACTAGTAGCTTCTTGTTCCCAGTAGCGATGGCCTCCAACCCAATAGCGATGGCCTCCACCTAGTAGCTTCTTGCTACTAGTCATATCTTGTCCTTGTTACTAGTAGCTTCTTGTTCCTAGTAGCGATGGCCTCCAACCCAATAGCGATGGCCTCCACCTAGTAGCTTCTTGCTACTAGTCATATCTTGTCCTTGTTACTAGTAGCTTCTTGTTCCTAGTAGCAATTGCCTCCAACCCAATAGCGATGGCCTCCACCTAGTAGCTTCTTGCTACTAGTCATATCTTGTCCTTGTTACTAGTAGCTTCTTGTTCCTAGTAGCGATGGCCTCCAACCCAATGGCGATGGCCTCCACCTAGTAGCTTCTTGCTACTAGTCATATCTTGTCCTTGTTACTAGTAGCTTCTTGTTCCTAGTAGCGATGGCCTCCAACCTACTTGCAATGGCCTCCACCATGTTGTGTGCTTGACAACCCAGGTTGCCTCACGAAACTGTCGACCCAGACTGACATCTAGCTCTGGCAAAATGACTCGGCATCGATTTGGCCGGCGCCTGGAAGATGGAGATGATGAGCCGGTCTGTCTGCATCTCGAGGAACACTCCCAAGGTATTTTTCCTCAGGCCGCATGAGGACAGGTCAGCCATAGATTCTTTGCACGCTTTCGCACCCTCTCCCTCGCTCTCCCATCCCTCTTCCTCTCCCTCTTGCTTTCTGTATCTCTAACTCTTTTTCACTGTGCAAAGTTGAGTATTGGCAGCTGCACTAGTGAAACGATACATCTGCACCATGTGCCTAATCCATTTGAGCAGTGCGGTTGGAGCATGCAGCTTCTGCGACACTTCATTAATAAACATGTAGGGCCCCAGCCAATTCCCTCTTCCCTAGTTGGTCCTTCCGCTCTCCGAAAAGCTCAGTCGGATGGATGTCAGCCATTCCAATTGAGATCTAAAGCTTTTAAACACGCTATAGCTATAGCATGCTATAGCATATTATAGCTAATATAAAGTTGCACTCATTCTTTGCTATGTTCCCTTCCTCACTGACTGAACCTCCATAAGACCAAGAAACAGGGCGACCTCCAGCAACGGCCGCCAAGAAAGCTTCGCAACTTCACGGCCGGCCAGGTATGCCTCCGGCAGCACGATTTCACCACATGAAGGCTGGATGTTGGTTTGGCCCCAAAAGAATGAATGAAAAGGTGTTCAGGCAGATGGCGAAGCTCTGATATTCCCGATGTCTGGGTCGGCTCCATTCTCTATCATCTCAGAGGATTGCGGCTGGCCGCTTGATGTTGCTGATGCGCAGAAATTACCAGAAGAATGGTTTCTGGGTGACTTTGGAGGGCGTTTGGAAGTCTGGTGGAAGTGCAGTGGCTAATGGGAAACCAGCGACTGTCGCCAAATACCATGCTGCTTCATTGCTTCACTTGTTGGGCTTGGCGGGGTGACAAAACGATTACCAACCGGTCGCAACTTGGGCACCAAGAGCATCATATGCTACTTTAAAGCGTTCACAAGGGAAGAGGACCTAATTCCAATGAAGAAGCACGCTTTGAGAAATTGCAGACTGAAGAGGATGAGGGCATTCAGAATTCATGTCTTGGGTGGACCCCTCCACAGATTCATGGCACATCGGTCCAATTGCCCAAGTCTTCCAAATGAAAAGACTTCAGTTCTGCCGTCAGGGAAGCTCTCGGAATTTGACGCCGCGAGGCACGCCTTGGGTGGGTCGCCGCCCAGCACGAAGGACCGTGGCAGTTGCAATGCCTGTTCCTAGGCAGCTGGGGCTTGACACCGGGTGCAGAAGTCTCTAGGTGAAGGCAGTGTGCATGTTCGAAGAGTCTACTCTGTTCCTGTTGGAGGCTGCATTGCTACACAAGGGGTGGGGGGTGACATGATTCATATTCATCCAGAAAACAACAAAAAACAGTACTCGCCTCAATCAAACTTAAGTTTGCCTGCTCCTTCCTCACCAAGGGGCTGGCATCTGGCCATCGGGCGTCCAGAGGGAGGCCGGGCGCTTCAAACTCTCCGGACCCAAGAGGATTGCCTCGGAGTTCATGGCAATGGTCGGTCATGGATGAGTCAAAGCATGTCAAGACCCCGCCAGTGGATCCACAGACCTCTTCAGTAGGTAATCAGTGCTTCCAAGGACAAACCAACTGTAGACCAGTGTACCTATATATTTCAGAAAACCCTTGTTCCTTATGACTGTCTGAAAGTGGCTTTCTACTGGGGCCAGAGGGTTCTCTGTAGCAGAGGTTGCACCCGCCTGGCCTTGACAACGCCTAATTATGTGGCCTCTCCACTGTGATAAGCTGCGTGATGTCCAACCATGCACGCAAAGTGATGACAAAGAGACAACGAACACTGCAATGCCTTCATGTCATTGACTTCCAGACATCGGACATGCAATGTCAGGACAAAGGCTTCAACTATATACAGTAATGGGAGTACATACATACATGTTCTGGAAATCTGATCAAATGACAGACCTTCTCAGTGGATGACTTGGTGTCAGTTATGATTGTTCTTCCTGTTGCTATGCAAGGCTGTCCATAGTCCATGCTCTCTTTTTGTGAGTTTAGCTAACAGCTAAAGCTGATGATTTTGCAGGATGTTCAGCCGCGAACCACACTCGTAGCAAACCACCACATTCGAAGCACTGTCAAAACTGAAAGCAAGGCATCATAGTGTCAGCTACCTTCCAACCTTTCAACTGATCCCGTCAGTATCCGTCTTGCTCGTAGAGGTCCCCCTCCAAAGTCGAAACAATTCATAACCCACATCATGCTCTGGGCCTAGGGCAAATGAGATGTATAGAGCAGTTCTTTCAAATACCGAACAAATACAGGAAACGGCGGACGAATCGTCGGTTTTGCTCTGAACGTGCAAGAACATCTCCAAGTTGCATGTGGTAGCTGCCAGACAAAGCCTAGTGCCAAGGTCCGGTTCGTTCGCTTTTCTGCCAAGGATTCTACCTCCACTTCGAAGTAGAAGCGCTGAGAGTGGCCTGCCATTTTCTCAAAAACTGATTGCAGCAAGGCTTGCAGTAACATTCACACTTGAAAGCTGCCAAAATGCGGACTGCGCGGTGGGAATGTCTCGTTTGGACTCTTTGGTACCAGTCTTGCAAAGTGTTGTAGTATGGAATCGAGTTGTGGCCTGAATCGCCAGCTGGGGCAACCGGCAGGGGCTTCAGCTCCGAGGTCACCGCCACCGCGCTGATGAGGCCCTTTCGTCGCGTGGCCACATCGCTGGGTCGACCCGGCCGGCTGCTGGTCGCGTCAATGTTGGGGCCCCAAGCGATGAAGGACATGAGGGGGAAATAGTTCAGGGCCTCGGCTGAAGAAATCAGCGGATGGAACAGGATGTTTAAAGAGAAAGCAGCACTGAGAGAGAGAGAGAGACAGGCAGACAGACAGACAAACAGACGGACGGTGACAGTGACAGTGACAGTGACAGTGACAGTGACAGTGACAGTGAC